CCCCCCCCCTACGAAGTTGGGCCCCCCTTGAAAAATTTCTGCGTACGCCACTGTTCAGAGATACATGTTTTAATTTTGTGAAGTCATGCCGCTGACAAATAATTTAGTTCATATATGTTTCATTGAAAACAATTTGTAATTATAGTAGAATAGTCAACTAAATCAGATTATAATGATAATTATTCTCTCATAAGAATTTGATTTATTGTGTCATTGTATTTCGATATTCAAATGATAATGAATAAAACTCATATATAATAAAAACTAAGCTTTTCTCATCTTTTAATAATTTTTGTTATTTTTAGGTCTCGTTTTGATTTATTCTTTATTGTTATTGATGAATGTAATGATGTAACTGATTATAATATTGCTGAACGTATTATTGATTTACATACATCAGGAACGCGTTCATCAGTTCCATCACTTGTAACTTCATATACATTTAATGATATTCGAGATTATATAACATATACGAAAGCAGCTGTTCAACCAAAATTAACATCATCAGCTAAAGAACATATAATAACATTATATAAACAATTACGTTTACGTGAAACATCATCATCAATTACAGGTCGTATATCATCATCATCAACACCAATAACTGTTCGTCAATTAGAAAGTTTAATTCGTTTATCTGAAGCTATTGCTAAAATGTATTGTCAAGAAGATATTGATATAAAACATGTACAAGAAGCATATAGACTTTTAAGTAAAGCAATTATACATGTTGATCAACCAGATATTGATCTTAATGAATATAATCGAACAACAACTATAACTGATGAAAATATTGAAATTGAACAAGAACCAATAATAACAACTAAAGAAGAAATGAAAATATCTGTTGATGAATATAAACGTTTAACTAATATGATGGTTTATCAATTACGTAAAATGGATGAAGAACAAGAAACTGAAAGTCAAACAAGTAGTAGTACAACTATTATTATGCCTGGTGTTAAACGACGTGAACTTATTAATTGGGTACTTGAACAATTAGCTGATGAAATAAATAGTCTTGATGAATTAGCAAGAAAAAAAGCAACTTTAGATAAAATTATTGATCGTCTTGTACATGTTGATGAAATTCTTATTCAACTTGATAAACGTACTATAAGTCAATTTGGTGTAACAACTGAAACTAAAGATAGTACAAATGTTGAACACCAAGAAGATGAAGATAATGAAGATCCCGAAGGAAATAATCTTTATCTTATTGTTCATCCTAATTATGTTGCTGAAGATCAATAGATTGAATATATATATAGATATGTATGCGTGTGTGTGTATAAATGAAGGAAATCGATTATTTTTCTTGTAAAATTTAAATACATCTATATTTTTTTTTCTTGATAGAATAAATCAATGTAGGAAGATAACAAAGATATTGAATCTTCTGTTTGTTTTTTTTTTTCTAAAAAGGATTGACAACTCTATCGGTTATTTATAAAGCCATGTTTCTCGCAAGAGAGATGAATGTTACAAACGCTCAGGTGTTCAAGATTAAAGTTAAATATAGGAATCGTACGCTATCTGGATCCTCGTACTTTATTGTTGTCTTATTAAAATTAAAATGACTATAGTCTAAACAATTGTTGTATTCTATTGAGTAAAAAATGTTCAAATCGATGATTCAGTTCATTTTGTAGCAATATCAATACAACACAAAACACTATGCAAAATTGAAGAAAATATTTTTTTTTCAGTCATTAAAAACAGCAACAATCAGATAATGAAATATGAATTAAAAATACATCTAATGTTTGCATAGCATTAATTTTACACTACAAGATATTTCTACAATCTTCTAAAGCTTTCGATGAACCTAAGATTTCCACTGTAAATTTTATCTAGTGAGTTTTAGTATTGAATGTAGGCGAAACAATCGTATTGTAGGTATCAATCCATAGGTACGTAGTATTATTAAACAAGCATAGTGAAAAATAGGACGAATGTTGAACAATTGAATCAATGTAACAAAGATCTTATGTCCTGAAGATGTATCTTATGATATTAATAAATTTTTTCATTATAAAGATATTCAAACATTTTCAAAACTGATAAATTTCAGAATGTGTGTATCAACTATAATAGTATTGCTGCTTTTTTTATTTAATATTTTTTTCAAATAAATTATTTTAATTCAGCTGATTATATATTTATAACAGTCAAAGTTTGTATGTTCCATACTTTGACCCATATGAAGCTGTGAAGACAAGTTTTTTTAGCTAATACACTAGCTACAAAACATAAAATTATATACTCCCCCAAAAAAACGCAACCTACTATTGTCGCTAATTCTCAAACATATTCGGTTTACTTCAATCAGTCACGGGCAAGAACTATACGATAGAAACTTCTAACTAACAATAAAGTTATGTTGAATACTTAGAGAATTGATCATAAATTTCACCATACATACTATTCAGTTTCTAGAAAAATATTCACATAGGAATATAGAATCTCGCTAGATGTCATTCCTACGTCAAAACCACAATATGTAAGACTTGTATAATCTATTAACCAATCAAAAACTTGTTTTATGTTATTGCTCATGATGGATGTCATTCCATTTTTATTTTTGAATAGAATTATTTAAGTTTAAAAATCATAGTTTTATTGAACATTCTATTACTATTTCAAATGTCATTACTTGATCAAAATTGGGGTGGTATTAGTAATATTGATGATGAAACATTAGATGATAATCATTCTGGAAGACAAGTAAAAAATTTATATTTAATATTTTATGAAAATAATATTTAAAAATTTTTAGATTTTAACAACACGTGATGGTACATTAATGTTAATTGAATGTACTGATGAAATGTTTGAATTATTATCTAATACAATGAAAACAAATTCATCAATTGATGATAATAATGATGATAATGAATTACAAACTGGTTTTCAATTAGTTATACGTGCATGTCAACGTTTTTATCAATCAAAAATTATCTCAAATGATAAAGATCTTAGTGGTATTATATTATATGGAACAGAAAAAAATAAAAATTCATTTGATTTTAATCATATTTATATACTTCATGATTTAGCACAACCATCAGCTGAACGTATAATACAATTAGAAAATTTATCAAATAAAGATACATATAAAAAAACTTATAATGATCTATTTGGTTTAACATTATCAAAAAATTATTCATTAAATGAAGCATTATGGACATGTTCAAATTTATTTGCAAATTCACCACAACGTTTAACAATAAAACGTATATTTATATTTACATGTAATGATCGACCACATGGAACAAATATAATATTAGAACGACAAGCTAAACAACGTGCTAAAGATTTAAATGATGTTGGTATACAAGTTGAAGTATTTCCTATATTAACTGAAACAATAAAAAAATTTGATTATAAAAAATTTTTTCAAGATATTTTAATGTTAAGTGATGATGAACTTGAATTAAGAAATAATCAATCACCAACAGGAAGATTAAATGAATTATTAAAACTTGTTTATTCAAAAGAACATAAAAAACGTGCTTATTGTACAGTACCATTATCATTAGGAAAAACTTCTGATGGAACATCATTACAACTTTCTGTATCAGTTTATAATATGGTAAATATATTATTATTTTATAATAATCAACAATAGAAAAAGTTAGACATTGAGTTGTACTTGGCTGAATTAAGAATATATAGAAATAATAGAAAAGTTTAGTTTTCTAAGCTTACATTCTTTCGAATTTTGAAAGAAAAAAAGTATTTGATTGTATAATTAGTATTTCCTTTTTTTGTTTTTACATTCGAGAGAATTTCGACGATGAAATATCTCAAAATAGGAGATAGTAGAAAAGTTACAAGTTGTTCAATCAACTAATCTGATTGAGAATTTTGTTTGTGAAAAAATTGAAAGTAGATTTTCCGTGTGATTATTGAAAAATCTAATCAAATTTCGATATGTCAAGAATAAAAGTTCGGAAAATCAAACCATTCTAGCATCATCAAGATTTATTAAATATATAACAGAAAAATAGGACAATAAACTTTTGTAAAATCAAGATTAGACTTTGCATTATATTCTTTCGATTTAATAGAAAATTTTAATTTTTGAGTTATTTTTCGATCTGAAAGGAGTGTTGAAGTATTTAGGGGTAGAAATTTGGACCCCCACAGACCGTAACAGACAAGCCCGGAACCCATCACTAGAGCCCGTCGGGTAGGACCACGACCCGCTCGGGTCCAGGTCCGGATCCAAAAACTGCTTTCATACAAATAATGACTTTCTTAAATTTGTTTTCAGCCGTTTTTCATTTTTATTCAAAAAGTAATTATAAATTAACTTATAAAAGATAGAAAAAATAGTAATAAAACTTGTTGAATAAAATATGTAAGTCGTATAGCTGCTAGAGGAAACAAAATAATATAATGATGTTTTACAATGTTTTTTTTATAACTAAGATTTGGCAAAATTAAAACAAGTGTTACTGTTAATCAATAAGTCGTTCAACAAAACAAATAGTGTAATGTTGTCTTAATTTGTTTTATATAAATATGAATGCATAACAACAAAATAAAAACAAGTATAATTGTGTGCTTGTTAAAAAAAATGATGTGACTGCCTTAATTTGTTTTTTATAAATATGAACTAGTAACAATAAGGCAACTACACCTAATAATCGTATAGCTGTTAAACAAAAGAAATAAGATAAAGCTGTATTTAATCTAAATCTTTATCTCGGTATCTGAAGTTATTGGCAAAGAATTAGAGCCAATTACAACTTGATTATAGATCATGATCAATATAGCCTAACTAACATATAGGTCGTGGTAGTGATCGATATGATTGAAAAAAAAAGATCTCATATTTATGACGCACTATCAGACTTCGATAGGAATAATTCATTGAAAATGTCCAGAATGCCGGCCAATTCAGAGTTAGAAAAAGTTTAATCAACGGAATATGGGCTCAGGCCCGAGAGATTGTAACCAGCTATGTCAGAGTCCGGAAAAGTTTAATCTGGTCCGGATCTGGGCCTCAAAACATTCGGTACACCGGGTCCGGATCTGAAAATCTTGGACCCGATGGGCTCTACCCATCACAGACCGTGACAGACAGGGCTTGGTATCTGTCAGAGACCGTCATAGAGAAACTGCAGTTCTAAAGCATTAGATAAAGGGTTAGTTTAGAAATGTATCGCAAAGAAATGGAACAAAACGATTTCCATTTAACTAATAACAATAGATCCATCGTGTTTCACATTTTTAATCCCACAAGGGATTGCACTAACAGTTTTGTTTTTTTTTGAAAAAGATTATGAATAATTTATGATAATCTTATTATTTAGGTTCGTCCTTGTCCAAAACCGACTAAAATTAAATTAGATATGAAAACAAATATGGAAACAAAACTTGTTACAAAACATTATCTTCCTGAAACTGGTTCGTTCATAAATAATAATAATAATAATTTATATAATAATTTTATTTTTTTTTTTTTGTCTAGCTGAAATTCTTATGCCATCTGATATACAATATGGTATTGATGTATCTAATCGTCGTGTATTATTTGATGCTGATGAAATAAAAGCAATAAAAAAATTTACTAATCCCGGTTTTGAAATACTTGGTTTTAAAAATCTTTCTTGTTTATTACCACATCATTATGTTAAACCTGGTCATTTTATATATCCCGATGAAAAATATATTGAAGGAAGTTCATGTTTATTTAATAGTTTATTAAAAAAATGTTTAGAAAAAAATATGTTTATTCTATGTCAATTTACAGCAAGACGAAATACACCACCACGTCTTGGTTATAAAAAATAAATTTTTTTTTTTTTTTCTTATAAATTATTTGATTTTTTATTTTTTTCTAGTTGCACTTATTCCACAAGCTGAAGAAATAAATAAAAAAGATCCAAATGAACGTTTAGCATCAAATGGTTTTCATGTATATTATTTACCATATGCTGATGATATACGAACATTACCAAAGAATGATACAGCACGTTTAACAGATGATAAAGTTGATTTATTTAAAAATATTATACGTAATTTAAAATTTAAATATCGTCCAGAAAAATTTGAAAATCCAGCATTACAAACATTATGGAGAAATATTGAAGCAACAGCATTAAATAAAAATAAACCAGAAGAATTTATTGATTTAACAATACCAAATATTGAAAATCAAAATAAAAAAATAGTTGAATATATTGATGAAATTAAACAAACAATTTTTCCACCGGATTATGTTATGGGTATTACTAAAAGATCAGCAACTAAACGAAAGGTTAGAATTTTTTTTTCATATGTTAATTAAAAGATCGATCAGACGAGTATTTATATGACTCGATAGCACTTTTCAATAGCTTTAAAATAAATACTATTCGATATGATTTTACATCATTCTCATATGCTACTAGTCTCACTACTGCTGATAGAAAGTCTATGTTTACGTTCAATCAATCAGAATTCTAACAAAAGATGAATTTCATGAAGACTCGTTTATTCTTGAAAATTTTCAACGGATCATTTTGAGTATTTTGCGTTGACATAATCTATTATTTTTATTTCTGTGCATCATTATAAATTTTTAATTAAAGGTTATCTTGACATTTCTCGTTTTAATGTTATGTTAAAATCACAAAAATATGCATTTCCTTTTTTTTTTTTCTTTGTCGAGTCCGTAAAAATTTATAAAACATGTTCAAGTGAGTATTAACAATTGAATGTAATGTTCATTCATAATTTATTAATAAAATAGAAAAAAAAAAAATTTTTTTGAATACTATTTCTATTGTTAATTAAAAAAATTAGCTCAATACTTTGAAGATATGAGTGAAGATAATTAAATTTTTTTTGTTGGAAAGACATTTATAACACAATCTAGATAATCATCTATAAATATTTTGACGTGTATAATTTAATTCTTATTAAAATAAATTTCATAAATTATGCTCATTAGATTGTATAATGTAGAATAATTTTCAAGCAATCAAATAATAATGTGTTACTATAAAAAAAAAAAAACATTGCAATTATAGATTCAATATTGATGTCAAAAGAATTAATTTTTGAATCTGTTTCTTTGAATAGAAATGAATCAAAATTATTACGATAGTAGTTTTTTTTTCTCGTAATTCTTCGAAATACATGACGATACAATGAAGACTGATGCATTAGTAAGATAAATGGAAACATCAATGTGAATATCCGTTTATCGAATAATAAATGTTGTGAAATAACATTTCCGATAGTTGACGTGACTTAGTGATTTAAAATTTCCCTAGATTAAAAGATTTTTCTGTTTTTGCTTTTATATATACCTCGATATGTGAACACAACAAAATTATATATAATCCAAGAAAATAATTTTTACGAGATACACAATAGAGCAAATAATTCTTTCAATGTATTTTATAAGTCTTTACAAATATCTTTAAATCAAATTCAATATCGAAATGTGAAGAAAAAAAAGAACGCCCATTACTTAGCATATATCTTTTTCTTACTCTACATCATAGTATAAAATTTTCAAAATATCACTTTTGTAATGATACAATAAAAAAACACATCAATCCAAAGTTGAATATATATGTGATAAGCTTATCACATGTTTTTTTTTTTGTATTATGACGACGAACGCCAAAGGACAGTATAAAAAATTTTATTATTTGTCATAGACTATGTGAAAAAACACGATGTGTTATTTATTGCATCTACATTTGTACTTTTATCGTATCGTGTATGATTGTTTTTTGTCAGATTCTATTTTAAGCATTTGTATCTTACTTTTTTTTTTAAGCTTGTTGTTTCTTTTGTAATTAAAACTAAAGCATATAGATTTTGTAATCAAATAAATTTTCTCATGAAACTTTGATCTTTAGGCTGAAACAGCTGCTACATCAACAAGTTCAAAAAAGACCAAAACAGACGATAATATCGATGTTGAAGCTGCTGCACGCAATAATTTAGTATGAAAAAGATTAAGAAAAAAAAAAAGAAGCATACTTCCTTTTGTTTTTATTTTTCTTATATCTATTATTTTTATTTTAGTTAACTAAATTAACTATACCAATACTTAAAAATTATTGTAAAGAACAAAATTTAAAAGCATCCGGAACGAAAAAACAAGATTTAATTGATATTATTCTACAACATCTTGCTATAAATTGAATTGAATATAACAATATAATTAAGTCCTATTCTCTGTTGTTTTGCTTATATATATTTTATTTTTACAACAAACAAAATAAATATAAATGATTTATAAATTTAAATTTTTTAGTATTTTTTAGTCACGTACAGTTGTCTTTTTTATTTGATTTTTTAACATTCCTATAAGATAAAAGTGGAAAGATTGCACGTATATGGAATAAAAAAATATCTTGTTCGCCTTTTCATTGACATACATTTTTGAAACTACAGAATGTGAATAATAATGAGAGAGACGAAGAAAAATAACACGTAGGAGAAAAAGAAGAAGAAAAAAACAGACAACAAAGTTATAATACCAACATCCAGTGCTTGATCCTTTCCTGATCATTACCATCTGCTGTTTTTTTCTCACAATATTATTGTCGAGGGTTCTGTCTGTGCGTATGTAAGCTTTTAGTCTTTGTTTTGTTTTGTTTTTTTTTTTATTCTTTGAAATTTAGATTCAATAATGTCATATAATACAAAATCATCAATAGAATCAAAAAATATTGCTGAAAATGGTCCTTGTTCATCGGTTGGTGAACATCCAAATGCAATAACAAATCGGTTTGTTAAAAGAAAAATCAATCTGTTAGTTTTTTTTTTTTTTTTTTTTTATGAACTTAGTTTTTATACATATGAATGTGTACAAGAAATTGTTGGTTTTATTCAAAAATTAGTTCCAACTAAACCAGAATTAGCTATTATATGTGGTTCAGGTCTTGGTGGTTTAGCTGAATTAATTGTTGATAAAATTATAATACCTTATGCTGATATTCCACATTTTCCGAAATCAACTGGTTGAAAATAAATAAAAAAAAAAAATTTTGTCTTTTTCATATAAATTTTTTTATTCAATCTAGTTATGGGTCATCGAAGTAATCTTATATTTGGTAAATTGAATGGTCTTTATGTTGTTTGTATGCAAGGTCGTCTTCATCCATATGAAGGTTATACTACAGCTACGGTATTTATTTATTATCTATGGAAAATAATAAATTCTTTTTCTTTGATTCTTAATAAGAGATTTATTTTTCATTTAATCTTTATTTATAAAAGTAAAAAAAAAACATTTTTTGTTCAAAACTTTTATATGGAAGAGATAAGATTAATAACATGATTATAAATTATATTTTAATATTCTTAGTGTGCTTTTCCAGTACGAGTGATGCGTATGCTTGGTGCACATTCACTTATTGTTACTTGGTTTGTATTCGATATGTTTTTTTACTTTTATAATCTTTATTTCTTTTTCAATTGAACTTTTATTATTAGTGCTGCTGGTGGTGTTAATCATGATTATTGTGTGGGTGATATTATGTTAATTAAAGATCATTTAAATTTTTCTAATCTAGCTGGAAATAATCCACTAATTGGTCATAATGATGAAAGGTAAATATGAGAGAAAAACAAACTATACATATATATATATATACTTATTTTAGATTTGGTATGACGATATTGAATAAAATTTATTTTATAAATATGTATTTTTGAAGGAACACGTTTTCCACCTGTTGGTCATGCATATGATCGAAAATATATAATAGAAATGAAAAAAATAGCTCATAAATATAATCTTCAATTACGTGAAGGAGTCTATTGTGGATTAGGTAGATAGTTATTTATGTATTTAGATATTTTATTGATTCTATTTTAAGGTGGTCCATGTTATGAAACTATTGCTGAAATAAATATGCTTAGATTACTTGGTGGTGATGCTGTTGGTAAGAAAATTAAATCAACTTTATGAATTAAACATGAATAGATTTTAAAATAGAAATAATATTTTTATTGAGACTATAAGCAGAATCACTAAGATCATATATTCGAATGTTTTTGGTGCTCGCCTCAACAAGTTTCTTCAATAACCGAAAGTGTCCGTACGCAACTGTCCTAGACAGCGTCTACTTTAATGCACATACATTCTAACACACAAATGTTCGTGCGTAATTGTCCTAGAGAGCGTCTGCCATAATGCGCATACGTCCTAACACACAAATGTTCGTGCGTAATTATCCTAGAGAGCGTCTGCAATAATGCGCATACGTCCTAACACACAAATGTCCGTACATAACTATCCTAGACTGCATACTTTCGGACGTGCAAGTGTTGACAAGAATTTCTATTTGGCTGTAACTTGAACTCCTTCGAATCATAAAAGAAGAACAATAGATCATTGTAAAAAACTATGTAAATTTATTTTTAGGTATGTCAACTGTTCATGAAGTAACATTCGCAGCTCATTGTGGCTTTCGTACACTTGGTATTGCATTAATAACTAATAAAGGTTTATCAGATTATAATACAATATATGAAGCTGTTCATGAAGATGTGATTCGTATAAGTGAACTTAAAGCCAATGAAATACAACGATTGGTCTATGACTTTGTTGATGTTATCAAAAAAGAATCGTACTTGAAGAAAGAATGACAAAAAAATATTGTGCATTAAAAAAAAAATAAAACTTTGTTTTGTGTTCCTTTTTTTTTTGTTTTTACCGTCCTTTCATTTAAATATACATTCAGATTATTAATAATGATGTATCTATTTTCTTTTTGTTTTGTCAATCGGTGTTAGAAAAGCAATCTGTTTTGTTTTGTTTTTCTATGTTTCTATTGTATTCGTAAAGTTCTATGTCACAAAAAAAAATGAATGTATTATTTTATTTAGATGTAAAAAAAAAAAAAAAGAAAAAGAAAAACGCGAAAAAAAAATTAATGTCTCAACAGTTTACGAACGGTAGATAAAGTTTATTTGGTTTGTCTTGATTTATTTTTGGAATTTTTAGTTAAATCAGTATTTCATAAACGATTTTCTAATCTTTCATCAGCAATTACAAATCGTTTATGGCTTAATGCTGATACAAATTATGAATGTGATGTTTTATTAACATTTCCAGCACGTATTGATGATCATGTGATAATTTGGTTTCTTGAAAAATTTATTCAACTTCAACCAGATATTCGCATATCAATCAAATATCATTTTACTACTGGTGAAAATTTGTTTTTTGTTTTGTTGATAAAAATTATTTATATTGTTTGTTTTAATTAGGTGTTTATGGATTTTATTTAACTTTTACTTATGAAAGGTGAAGATTTGTTTTATATGATGAATATAGTTTCACTTTGTTTTTTCTTTTTTGTTTGAATAGAATTTTGAAAGGTGCCGATGCTCTTCAATTAGAAAAACCAATTAAACAAGAATTTGGTGGAGGATATCGAATATTTTTGTTTGATGAATTAGAATTTTACGAAGGTAAAACATTAATTTTCAGTTATTTTGTGAAATATAATCTAAAAGGAATGTGGAAGTATATTATGATATGCGAAGTCACGCTTTTTTGGCTTCCTGTCTAGAGAAGTAGTACTTTTTTTGGGTTATATCTCTTGAATAATATTCTGATTGATAATTTTGTTAGATGATTCGCTTAAAAACAATATATTTTTAAATATAGCCTTTAGTTCTAGTTGGAAGTTTTCCGGTAGGCCCAGTTTTGGTCTCAGCAATGTCTCTTTCCCGTTGTCCGTAGGGTGCTGTGCTCAAACGTCATTATTGCCAGTCATGAAATGATCTCGGAAAAGTCACTAACGGCTATTCGTCTCGGATAATCCGTCCGATAGTATCTACATTATGACATACATCTGCTCTTGTGGCTATTATGTCGGAGAGACTTGAGGAATTGAGCGCAAAAACTCTGTATCAGACTGACCTTCAAACCGGAGCTACAACTAGTATCAACGGTATCAAAGATATCGTACTATTGAATCTGCCACCACACAGCACGGTACACTACAAGATAGCCGAAGGTCGGTTCTGCACATCTCTAACTGAGATAGACGTCAGTCGAAGACCACCACAAACATCTTAGCAACACTCACATCTCCGACTATACATCAATAACGTCTTACTATAATATATGAACTACTTTCTTATTACATTTATGGAGGATTAAGTAAGAAATGTTTACTGAAAAAAAAAGTGAAATACAATAATCCTATTATGATGAGTAACAGTAGCTACATTGTGTTCTACATTTTAATCCTGCAGGAATTGTACTAACAGCGTTTTTAGTATAAATTAGTTTTTGTTTTGATTTAGGTGTAGAAGATGAAGAAAAATTTTTTAGTACACAAGAACGACAATCAATTGTTTTTCATCTTCTTTATTCAATAAGAATTACTAAACTGGAAATTATAAATGGTATTAAATTTAAAATTGATCAATCATTAAGTAAATTATTTTTCTTATTTTAATGAAATAAAAAAAACAAAATTTATTTAGTTCAACGTGGTTTAGAAAAAAATTTAATTCGACAAGTTATTCCATTGCATAATAAAGAAAAATTAAATCATTTGAGAGAAACATGGGTATGGCCAAAGAATATTTTTAATCCACAACCAATTGGTATGAATAATAAATATAGAGAATTTGTTTATATTATATTGAACTTTTTGTTTTTTCTTTTCTAGAAGATATTCGACAATATTTCGGTGTTAAAATTGCTCTTTATTTTTGTTGGTTAAGGTATGAAAAGAAAAACATTAGTAAATGTTCTAAAATAATGTTTTAATTTAGTTGTTATACCAAAGCACTCTGTTTTCCAGCTCTTTATGGCATTTATATTTGGTATTATAGTAGACAAAGTCAGGTTTGTAAATCTAACAGATTAAAGATTAGATGTATTTAATTTTACAAACAAAATATCCTTATGCATTGAATTCAAATTTTATATAACGTCAATTTTCAAAAGTTATTCATCATGATCACATGTAGACTGAGAATTTTTCTATTTATTGTATTTTTTGGAAAAATAAAGCATGAAATAGTTGTCCATATGATATAGACATAAACTAACATGAAGAATAAGTAAAAGATAACTGTCAAATATTAACAAAAGAAATTATAAAGTTCAAGGTTTGGTTTTTCTCAACCAGAGATGTCCATCGGGGCTGAAAATCTACCGCTGCCGCGCCGCGAACTTAGAAAAAAAAAGCTGCCGCACCGCAGCCGCGCCGCGACGGTTTATAAAAAAATGTTGCCGCGGCGCTGCCGCGCCGCGATGACTTATAAAAAAAACGTTGCCGCGGCGGTTTACAAAAAAGTGTTTCTAATTTCACTGCTGCGACTATATTTGACCAGAGATATTGGTACTAGTCCATCAGATTCATTCAGTCTAGGGGTGTTTCATTTGTAAACCCTGAAATTCTATTAAATTCATGCAGTTTTTCAATGTTCCCCAAAAAAATCCTGCCGCTGCCGCGGTGGTCTTTTAAAAAACCTGCCGCTGCCGCCACCGCCATCGCGGCAGCGGCAGCGCCGCGATGGACATCTCTGAGCTCTACATAGTGTATTTGTTTTGTTTAAATTTAGGAAATTGATGATAAACTTTTTATAATAAATTCACTTTTAAATATCATATGGGCAACAGGATTTCTTATATATTGGCGAAGACGACAAGCTGAATTAGCATATAAATGGAATACACTTGATATGGAAGAATTAGAAGAAACACGACCAACATATAAAGGCATATTACATCGATCTCCTGTTACAAATAAATATGAACCTTATTATCCACCATGGAAACGTTTAGTATTTCGTTTATTTGTAACTATACCAATGCTTATTATTAATCTTGTATTGGTTTCATTTTTTATTGTTATTATAATTCGTTTACAAAGTTGGATTGATCAACAATTAAAAATTGGTCGTTTACCTTGTAAAAATATTTTAATAATTATTATTATTATTTTTTTTTAATTGTCTAATTAAATTTCTTTAATAGCATTAATGTCATTAACAGAATTATTACCAAAAATTTTATTAGCATTAGTTACAACTATTTTTGATGATGTTTATAAAAGTGTTTGTCGTTGGTTAACAGATCGAGGTATTGAAAATTTAATTATGAATTATTTTATTTTATTTTTCAATAGAAAATTATCGAGAACAACGAGTACATGATAATCAAATGATTGCAAAAATGTTTGCTGTAAAATATATTTTCTTTTGTTTTAATGATTAAATTGATTCGTATTTAAATTTTAGTGTGCATGTGTCAATTCATATTTAAGTGTATTTTACATTGCTTTTTTTACACATAAATATATTCGATTAGCTGACGTAAGAAAAAAAAATACTGTATACTTATATATATTTCATTTTTTTTGTTTTGATTTATTTTAGCAATTAATTACTATTTTTGTTATTAAACAGTTTTGGGGTCATGTAAAAGTATGTAAAAAAAAATTTGATATTAGATGTATAGAAAAAAAAAGGATGTTCTCATATCTTCTCTTTCAATTGTTGACGTTATTTACGTTTTCGATCTATTGATTGTTTTAATTTAAAAATCTTTAACTCTCATACTAATATTAGAAATAAACTATCCTTCTCCTTAATCAAAGTATCTATGATTTTATAACAATTATTATAGACTATACGATCTGAAATTTTTCTAATAAAAGGTATGTAAGTTATTCATTAAAGTTTCAGCTAGCCATCTTACATTATACTAATTTAACTGATAATAATTAAAAATAGTTAGATAGTAACAAAGTTTGAAAGAAAAAAATATATTTGTAAAGATGTGAGCCGATCGACGGAGCTATCAATCACAAAACTTTAAAGATATACCATCTGTTGCCGCCAACGTTCGAGCGATTTAGCTGCTTTGCCGCCACTATCCAAAATAGTTGCTAAAGCTTCCAGCCACCGTCACGGTCGTGACACAAAAATTTCTGATGTGCCTAAATCTGCTTTTGAAAGTGTTACTTAGTGGCGTAACCAGGATTTTCCAGTATCCTGGATCTCCATCAGAGAGCATGGATCCCGAATGAAAACTTATGTACATTGATATTGGACTCAAATGATTAATTTCTATCGGAAAAAAATTTGAATCAGAGTTTGCAAAAAAAATTA